AGGACGAAATGTCACTGGAAATAAAGTCCTGAGTTGTAGGTTCCTGGAACTTTTTATCCTAAAATATTAAGGAGGCTGCCGGCCAATAAAGTCACAGGAAATAAGATTACAGGAATTAAAGTTCTGAAAAAAAAATATATCCAAAGAAAAAAAATCCAAGAAAAAAGTCCTAAGTCTTTGGTAAATGAGGTCAAGTATGAGACGTATTCCTAGAAAGGAATTTTCTCCTATGCATCTGCATATTGAATATAACCAGGGGTGTATTTAATATCAACTCAAGCCCCTTTTTGTCCATGGTTGTAAAAATACTTTGTTCCCATGCATTTTCCACGAGTACTTTTGTATCACATCCTACTGGAACCAGAAAAAAGTCTTAGAAAATAAAATCTCAAAATGATAGGACTTCATTTCCAGAGATTTTTTTGGCTGTTGCCGATTTAATCTGGAATCGAATCTATAGCGTCATGTAATGATGAAGTTGTTATACACACGTTTATACTTGCGGACAAGTCTAGCAAATTCATGGAGTTGCAATGTCACAGTCACATAGTGTAGTAAAGCTAAACCATTCTAATATTTTTTGCTTATTTTTAATATATTAATAGTTTTTCTTCCTTGTGTTTTAGACGGAACAGAGCCGGAAACTTAAGACAGGTATTGTTCTGAAAACCAGTTTTGAAACCCGGGTTTCACGAATTGGGTTTGGCAGTTTTGTGGATATCAATATATTCTCCATTTTTATAATCTCTTAAATCAAAATCTACACAAATGTTAAGACCAATAAGGAAACGCGGGAGTTTCGTTTAACGATACTCTTTTAAATTTTGGGCTCAGTGTCCAGTATATTATACAATGTCCACTAGTGTGCACTGTGCAGTCTGGCTGAAACATCTGTGAAAAATACCTTCTATTGCAAGAGATCTGGTGATTACCCTAGAGACCTTTAGATCTAATCTTCAGGCGGAAAATACAGATTCTTTTTGAAATGAAGGTTTGAAAGTATTCTCGGGTATTTTTTTCTCGTTACCCCTCTATCTACATAATATCTCTCTACCTTTATACCTCTCTACCTCTCTGAGATCTCTATCCCTCTATACCACTCACTCTCTCTATCATTATACCCCTCTATCTCTCTAAAATCTCTTTATCTCTATACCTCTCTATCTCTCTAAGATATCTTTATCTCTATACCCCTCTATCTCTCTAAGATATCTTTATCTCTGTACCCCTCTATCTCTGTACACCTCCGTCTCTCTAAGATCTATCTATCTATATACCCCTCTATCTCGCGAAGATTTCTCTATATCTATAATCTAAGATCTCTTTATCTCTTTACCCCTCTATCTATCTAAGATGTTTCTCTATTTTTAAACCTCTCTAAGATCTTTATACCTCTATACCCATCTATATCTTTGAGATCTCTCTATCTTTATACCCCTCTATCTCTCTGAGATCTCTTTACCTCTATGCCCCTCTATCTCTGTGCCACTCCGTCTCTCTAAGATCTCTTTATCTCTCTAAGAAGTATCCATCTATCTATATACCATTCTATCTCTCTAAGATCTCTCTATCTCTTTGCCCCTTTAAAAATCTAAGATTCTTTACCCCTCTAAATATCTAAGATATCTCTATCTCTTTAACCCTCTATCTATATAAGATCTCTATACCTCTATACCCCTCTATTGCTGTACCCCTCCGCCTCTCCTTAGATCTCAAAATCCCTTTACCCCTCAAACTCTCTAAGATATCTCTATTTTTATACCCCTCAATCTCTGCACCTCTCTATCTATCTCAGATATATCTATATCTATCACTCTCTATCTCTCTAGGATCTCTCAATCTCTCTACCTCTCTATCTCTCTAAGATCTCTCAATCTCTCTACCTCTCTATCTCTCTAAGATCTCTCTATCTTGAATTGATTGAAAACCATTCCCTACCGGAAAGTTTAATCACAGAGGCATCTAAACTATTCTCTTCCAGGGGTGTAAAACATTGCTCAGCCATATATTGGGTTCACTTCTTACGTCTCAAGATCTGTTAACGATATTTGTGTCTTCATCTATGTTTCTGTTTATTTTCCATCTTTTGTTGATAATTTGACTTGTGGGATTTATAAAATGTATATTTAATCATAATCAAAATATAATTCCTGAAAACTGACTGCGCAGAATGGATGACGAGAAGAAAAATTGTGCATCTCTGAAATGTTAAAGTTAATTCTTGATCTAATTTAGAAATTTATACAAATAGTAGATTTCCCCAGACATTTACATACAGATTATTCCCGGGGGGAAACAGGGGATATTCTCTTCTCTTCTGATAAAATAAAACGACATTTTCCCCCTCCCAACATTTTAAAGAATTCTACTGTAATTGCTTGTAACTGTATTTAGATTTAATATTGTCAGTTTTTGTAAATATTTCTCCCTGAAAACAGGACTTAACCTTAGAAACATTTTAAAGCAACGAGATAATGTCGCAAGGATAAAGGAAATGTATTTAGCAGAAGATACAATTCTAGCAAACTTTATCTAAACGTGAAGAATTTGGAGTGTGAAGTGTAGAGTTTAATGTTTGGAGTGTGAAGTGTAGAGTGTAATGTTTGGAGTGTGAAGTGTAGAGTGTAATGTTTGGAGTGTGAAGTGGAGAGTGTAATGTTTGGAGTATAGACTGTAAAGTGTAGATAAACTGAGTGTAATGTTTAGAGTGTTAGTGTAGAGTGAAATACATAAGACTATAGAGTGTAAAGTGTAAAGTGTTGAAATACAAAAGGCTGTAGAGTGTAAAATTTAGAATTAGGGTAAAGGTAGAGTTTATATAAACCAGTAAAGTTTAGACTGCCAAATTTAAAGTGTAAAGTGTTATGTCACTACATTTTTTATAATGTAAAGTTCAGAGTGTAGAGTTAGAGTGCAGAGTGTAAAGTTATAGATAGAGATAAGTCTGTAGAGTTTAATTTTATAAAGAATGTAAAGTAAGTAGTGTTGAGCCTTGAGTTTATTTAGACTGTATGCTCACGGAGTGTAGAGTTATAGAGTCCAGTTTATTTATGACTGTATACTCACGGAGTGTAGAGTTATAGAGTCAAGTTTATTTAGACTGTATACTCACGGAGTGTAGAGTTATAGAGTCAAGTTTATTTAGACTGTATACTCACGGAGTGTAGAGTTATAGAGTCAAGTTTATTTAGACTGTATACTCACGGAGTGTAGAGTTATAGAGTCAAGTTTATTTAGACTGTATACTCACGGAGTGTAGAGTTATAGAGTCAAGTTTATTTAGACTGTATACTCACGGAGTGTAGAGTTATAGAGTCAAGTTTATTTAGACTGTATACTCACGGAGTGTAGAGTTATAGAGTCAAGTTTATTTAGACTGTATACTCACGGAGTGTAAAGTTATAGAGTCAAGTTTATTTAGACTGTATACTCACGGTGTTGTGTAATTTATTTAATGGTTCTCAATAATTTGTTAAATGTTGTTGGAACGCGGTTTTGTACATTGAGAACAGTCCCTTAGTGAATTTTGTAAGTTTAAAGCAATCCCATAAATAACTTGATTAAATTCGTGATTTGGTTCTGAATAATAATATTCTCAATATTTTTTACATATTCTGTTTGTTTATTTACTGTTTGTTTACAACTTTAAACCAGTTTGCACTAAATTCTGTGCAGTACTCTTGGCCATCTGGTCTCACTACCAGAGCCGGAATTTTTTCAAATTTACGGTCGTATTTTAGACGTCCTAAATACGTCTCCGTCCTCTATAGTGTTTTTCCGCTAGATGTCTCCCGTTAGTTATTTTCGGACAGACAGACTTACTCACGTCGTGTTTACTCACATAATTTCGCCGTGAGTTAACCTTATTATAGATGTCAGCACCTGCACACAATACAAGTTTATAAACACAGGGATTAATAATAATCACAATTTTAATAATACAATTTAATTCAAAAAGTCAAATTTTAATCCGATTTTAATAAAAACTAAATAAAAAATTTAATAATCTGTAGTTTTATTTTACGAAAATTATCATAATCAATGAATTCTTGAGAACTTAATATTTTTGAAAGTCATCAATAAAAAGCATCCCTGAAAATGTATTCATGCAGTGTATTGAAAAGCTTTCTATTTATTTTCGTCTATAGGGGTCGCGCGATGTTCTGTTTATGGTCGGACACTAAATGTTGTAGAAAATCCCATTTAGACAGTACTTAATTCCTCCGTATTTAGGACGTTAGTAAGTGGAGACGTCATATGTTTGCAAAAAGTACGGATGAAAAAATTCCACCTCAGTACTCACTGCCGCTGAGAATTTTTAAAAACCGAGTTTTAAAATCCCAAATTCAAAGACGACAATTATAGCAATCTCAAAGACCCTCATCATATTCATGTACTGAAGGCCTATATGACCTTCCGCCAAAAAAGTTAACATTTAAGTTAGTAGTACTCATGAATCTTTATATTTGTCATCTTTCATGGGGCCCAGACAGCCCGACTAGAACCTTGAATTATCATTATACCTCAACCTATATTAAAAAACTGAACCGACATTTAATCTAAGTAATAAATGCCGTGCAATATGATTATACCAGTTAATCCGATAAACTGATTTTCCGACAAAAAAGGATCTCACATTGGATAACATGAATCTTTATATTTGTTATCTTTCATGTGTCCTAAGCTGCCTGATTTAGCCATGTGAGTTCGTTATATTCAACAGTAATACTACATAGACCAAAGCCGACATTCTATGTTCGTCCTTTCACTCTATATAATCTCACAATAATTAACTAGGCTCCTCTGACTCTCTATCTTTATTTCCCCAGCCATTGTATTAAAATAAGTAATTGATAAAAGTTGAGACCAAAGCCGACATTCTATGTTTGTCCTTTCACTGTATAATCTTACATTAATTAACTAGGCTCCTCTGACTCTCTATCTTTATTTTCCCAGACGCTGTATTAAAATAAGTAGTTGATAAAAGTTTTTTTGATCCGTTCTAAAACTTTTAAAGTTGGAAGATTTTCTTGTTTCTTTTAACTTTTTTCAATATTCTTATTTAACTAAATTCTTATTTGAGCAGTACATCTTATTGGGTTATATTTTATCTTTTTGTTCTTGCACTTTATATACTTGTAATTTAGCAAGCGTGCACGTGTGTTGTTGTTCATTGTGGTTTATATCGGTTCAGCAGTATCCTCAAGCAAACTTATTGCTCTCCTTAAGCAAACTTATTGCTCAAGACCCTGCTGGATCTACCCTAGCTCTGTTCAACCCCGATCAGCGAAACAAGTAAGGATAAACTTTTTATTCTCTGCCAAGTAATGCATTTAATGCAACTGATTGCTTTAATAGAAGCAAAATAGAGTTAAATTGATCAGTTCGGACTAGTTCCTATTAACCGTTTTATTGGGCAAGAAAGTAAAAGCAAACTTATTGCCATAAACTAAGTTTATTTGCTGATTTAGTGTGTAATTGGATAACACACAGTTATTGCTATTTAATAGCAATTAAGTCCATGACTGATAGTTCATGGGATAATAGGATGATTGTCATGAATTAGAATTCCCTAACATTTATTTAGACTGGATACAAATAGTCTACAGAGTACTAAAGAAATTCTTTTCACTTAAATTGCTGAGAAGCTAAGCAAAAAGCACATTTATTGCTTTTATTGATACACAATAAGTTAAGTCTAATCTTAGGTTAGCCATCATTACTAATACACGAGTCTAACCCTGCGTTGGGTTAAGCATGTATTGCTTAACTGCCAACATTGCTAATATAGCAAAGTTATTGCTCAAATTTGCTATATACACTAACATTATGTTTATTTAGTTTTGAAACCGCTGTGCTGTTATCAATCTGTGAACTGAACGGAACCCTTTCTAAGAAGATTGTATTTATCAATAAAGATTTACGTTACTTAACCTTGTCATTTATTTATTATCGGGATTAGATAGCTAAAATTGCGCAACACACGGAATGTAGAGTTATAACGTCAAGTTTATATATGACTGTATACTCACGGAGTGTAGAGTTATAGAGTCAAGTTTATTTAGACTGTATACTCACGGAGTGTAGAGTTATAGAGTCAAGTTAAGTATTTATCTATTTTTCTACAAATATCAGGCTTGGATTTTATTACTCTTAACATCGGATTAAGAATTCCTATATATTGAAAATCAATCTAATTTAAATAAATTATTCAGAAATCAGATTTCTAATCCAATTTAACCAAGTCGTAGAGTACAGGGAGTCAACAAAAAATCTGCTTAAATAAAGAAAAATTCTCATCCATAATGTTTATTATCAGTACTTTGACATAAACTGTTGATAGATGTTAGGTACTGAAAGCGGCAACTTCCCGAGGGTATTTTCCCAAGTGGCAAATTCCCAACTGTGAAATTTCCCAAGCGACAACTTTGATCCCAAGTCTTTCCTAGAAGCAGCGCTCTACCAGCTTGTTTTAGTCGCAGTGCTCTGCCCCGTAGCCCATCCTAGCCGCAGCACTCTGCCCCAATGTAGCCTGCGGCTCCTCAGAAGGCCTAACCTAACCTTTGGGAAGTCGCAACTTGGGAATTGCACATTTTGGAAGTTGCCACTTAGGAAATCCTCACTTGGGAAAAGGACTGTATGAAAATACTTTACACCGCTGAAAACATTTAATATACAGGGTGTCCCAAAAAACATGGGAATTCAGTGACGAATTCGATATCGTCTTTGTTATGAATTAGCATTGTAATTCCTAATTTCAAAAGTCATAATATTATTATGTCTGCTAGAGTTTATTTTATGAAAAGGGTAAAAGACTGTAAAGATGTGTCTATAATGTCTCCGCAAGATGAACAGTGAAGACGGAAAGTTTACTCTGTTTGTATACTGTAATTTTTTGTTTTACTAAGTACAACCGTATGCAGTGAAAACATAAACAAACAAAATGTGAACATAGCAGACGAAACTCTTACAGATTACAGCTTTCTCAGTTGGTATCACTGTACTAAATAAAAGAATTATTTAAAAAGACGATATCGAATTCGTCACTGAATTCCCATGTTTTTTGGGACACTCTGTTGTAAATTCGCACAAAATTTTTAAAATGTATTTGAAAAAAAATATTTATTAACATTTATCTTTCGCCAAAACATCGAAACAGAAGAAACAGGTAAAAATTTACATCTAGGAATTAGAATGGCCGGATGGCATGCATAGAATTTAGGACACAAAAAGCCTAGTGTAAAGAATAAATAAAACACATCATGAAACTTTGATGCGTTGCAAAAATACTTACAGTCAAATTAGATAATTTAATCTGAATAGCTGTTTCACAAAAAATGTGGTTTTTTTTCTGTAAAATTATTGAATTTTTGCCACAAACTCATATATCTGAATAGTTGTTGCACAAATAATGTGTTTTTTTTTCCTGCAAAATAATTAGATTTTTGCCTAAAACTCATATTTCTTATCCTTATATTATTGCAACCTTTAATATTTCAAACTAAAATTATTTGATCTAACAGAACTGATGTTTGAAATATCTAAGTTCTTCAACATTGGATTGCAATAATATAGGATTACAAAATCGGAGTTTATGGCGATTAGATTCAATTACTTTCAGGGGGGGGATTTAATCTCCCCTCAATGTGGAGCCCCTCACATATATCATGGTAGTACACAAAATCCCAAAATAGAATAATTGGTATTCATACCCCTATCCTTGTTGTATAGTTCTGAAGATCTAATCCACAAGCTAGAAATACACAGACGGCTCATGGCTCTGACGGGATAGGCTAAGCAGGCCTATAGCTGTCCCGCCATGACATGCTATATTTCCACAAAAGGTTTTAGACTGCCATCTAACGGCCACTTGTTGCATAAAATACCCATTCAGGGGTTAAGTTTTTCAATTTTTAAAGAAATACTTTTAACTTTTAACATACAACATAAAATTTATGAATTTAGTCTATTTTTGAAGTTTTTGTATTTCGTACCCAAAGACTCTTTAATATGCCTGAATACAGACGTCTGTTTATTGGTTGTGTACTCCAGTTGTGGAAAATATCGCATATTCTAGTATTTAATAGATCTCTGTACTCTCTTATCTCTGATCTAATCTTATCCATGAGATGTCAGCAGGTTTTATCCTAGGTCAGGGAGGTAAACAGGATTTAATTTAAGGGTTGGGGGGGGGGGGGGCTAAATATATATCAAAGGGGTTTAAGATTTAAAAGGGGAAAATATAAAATCTATGAGGGGCATTGCCTCACGTCCCCCCCCCCTCCCCCATGTAAATACACGCCACGACCCTCGTCCTAGGTATATCCCCTTCAAGAAAACTCTTAATCCTTTCAAGATTACCCTCGGACTACAAGACTTTGTTCAGATATATATAAACAGATAAACAGAAAAAAGCTCCATCTTCGAACTGGTTTATTAACTTTTTTTTATTTATTAAATAACCAGTACTCTTTTCCTTAACATTTTGTTTCGAAGCATATGCAAATTTGATGTTTAACTATAAATAATAATCGATGTTTTTTTAAATCTACAGTCACGTTTTTTTCTAGAAGATCTCTTAAAAATGTCTTCGATTTTTAAAATATTTTTGGTTTATTTATAAGAAGATTTCTCCAACCTGAAAACTCTGTGATAACTAGATTCAAAATCTATCATTTTAAGAATAAGCTTCAATAATCTAATACATTTTAGAAATTTCCAGAAACCGTTTTTTTGAGAAAATATGAGTGTTAGAAGAAATGACAATTGATGAGAGAGAGTGAATTTTATTTTTAAACCCGATTTTAATTAAATATTTCAACTCAAAGTTGTCAGCTTTGAAAATCTTTAAATTGACAGAATGAGAAAATTACGTATTTAATATCACAATAAATGGCTTGACTGGAGTTAAATGAAAAACTTTTTAAGAAAGGAGCTTTATATAATTCTGAGCAGTTAATCAGTTAATTTAATTAAACTTTGCTTAGACCTATTTGTCAAAGTTTGAAGTTGAAGTTGAATACACTGATTAATAGACCCCATACCACATGGGATATCCTTGGTTTTAAATCTTACGCAACTGAAGGGAGGGGGGGTTGCAGTTGCACCCCACCACAATACCTATTCAGTAAACTCTAGACTGAAAACGATGTGAAAATCTCAAATTTTACTGTTAATGGGTGTTTTTTAAAACAAAGAGGCCATCAAACTTCTTTTTTAACACCGCAAACTCAATTTTTATTCTTATCATTTATAGCAAAAAAACAAGACATTTTAAAATTGTTTAAATGAAAAATTGGATTTCCTTTAAATTTTCCAACTAAATTCCAACTATTTTGCACCATTGACTGATTGTGAAAAATTGCAATTATTGGAGGAGTTTTGAAGTCACAACATTTCTGTGAAGTGGGTTGGGAGGACAGATTGTCAATATTTACTTGGATAATGTTGATTTAAGGGGAACAATCTCTTGTTTACGATTCAATCTAATTTGATTTGTTTTAAACTTGCATTTTTGTTTCTTTTTCTTGGAAAGAATTAGAAAAACGAAAAACCCATGAATACGTTTTTTGGACATATCTCATTGTCTCACATCTTTGGGGGCCGACGGACGCAACATATTTTAATAATTCCTATATTTTTGCAGCCTGAAGACAGGATATTTTACTTTGAAATATCGGAGGTCTATGACATCAGGTTGCAAACATAAAAGTATTAGCAAATTAGAGTTTAAGACAAGTGATTAGTATGTAAATTATGAACATTGCTAGGTTAACAGCCCAAAATAATGACTATTTATAAACCTTGATGAAAAAAATGATCAAAATTCATTAAAATTGTATTTTTTTCTTTAGAATAGAACTACATTATATTCCTAAAAACGTGATTGTTTAAATAGTAGAAAATTGAGAATTATATATTTGTCAGAGGTTGCGTGATAGATAAATATATATATCTGTAAGGTATATTTCTCGTCAAAAAATGGATGGGGGGGGGGTGCCCTTGTGCACATGTAAAGGTGCTTTTTTATTGTTGTATTAGAAATACAATATATCTCTGTATTGTTTTCATGACGTCTAAACTAAATATAGACTGTATGGATAGGGTGATTAAAGTAAGGTAGATTGAAAATGAGATTATAATTTTTTTATGAATTGCTTCTATTTGTGGACACAAGGTTACAGAAAGATAAACGACTAAATGGATTTTATTCAATCTGTTTGAAAGGTCTTAGATCTTTGCGCAGTTAAAAAACTTTGACACAAACTCTGATTTTCTAATTCCTATATCTCTGCAGACCTTAGATATTTCAAACTATCAATTCTGTTGCATTAAATTATCCTAGTTTGAAAAGATAAAGGTCTACATCATCAGGTTCCATAGATTAGATTAGAAAATTTGAGTTTGTGGCAAAGACTCAATTTCTTTTTACAATTCGCTAATTTTTTTCGCTCGTCATTTGCTTATATTTCCTTTGAAGGTCAAAATTTGGCATACTGTAAGAAAAGCTTGTTTTCTAATTTTTTTTATTTTTAACATTTTCCTTTCTATCAGTCAAATAGTCAAAAAGTGACCCTGCTAGACAATATATATGCAAAAATACCAAAAAACGATGCAAAAAACGAACGTGTTGTAACGATCGCTTTTCCAATTTTTCGTTTATGATAAACATATTGCAAAGTTAAATAAAAACAAACTTTAACATAATACAGTTTTGAAATCTTGTAAGTTCTTTTGAAATGTTTCTAGAATCGGTCCTAAACGATTAATAACACTAGCTACATAATAACATAATAACTCAAGAGGTATTCTTAGTTTTGGAATTTTAAAATAAACGAAGAGATTTCATGATTGTTTGAAATATTTTTTGAATCATTTGTTATTAATCCCGAAATGTCTACCCATCGATTCATTAAGAAAAAATGTCTTCTTTTTTTTGTCTAAAACGCTTTTTACCCCATTAATTTCTTATTTATAAACATGGTTGCTTAAAATATTGAGGCCGTCAATAACCTAAAAATATAGCAAAAACTCTTTGGTGAAAACAAATGATAAAATAATAAATATTTTTCAACTTCAAGTTTATTCAACTTTAAATAGAAAAGGATTCAATGTATTATATAAATAATAAATTTTACATTTAAATATAACATAATCCGTAGGTACGACGCCAAAGCCCCAAAGTAAAGACTTAATTCAAATTAACATTACAACAACTAACTTAGGGCATGAAGGTGTATCAAGAATTAAATTCTAATATTTTCAGTTTGACTGATCTAAATCCAATTTGTTCTTAATTAACGTTGCTTAAAAACTTAAAAACAAAGATTGTGCATTTACAGATTGAGGGGTCCTGAGATCTTTGGGATACTGTGGTAAGCATAAATTTCATCTTGGCATTAGCATGGCACTATCAAGGAAAGGCTGCAATAATTACTTTTAAATTTAAATTTTGAAATACGAAATAGAGACCAAAAACCTAAATCTTAAATTTGATTTTAGCTTTTATTGCAGTAATTGTTTAAATGTAAATGATATGTAAATAGTAATTTTTGCTTCCAAATCCCTGAATTAATTACAATTATCTACGATTTACAATTTTTAAATAGATCTACATTAAATCCAAATGCTATGTACACCTACTGTACAACTAATTAAGAGTAAAAATGTATGAAATGTTTTTATACAAATGTTTAAAAATCCGACAACATCATGCTGTTTTAAAATTCAATAAAAAAACGAAAAAGATTGATGGCACTGATATTAAATTTTTTTAGAGATTCGATCTAAACTATGGCAAATTGATTTAAAAGTGCTGTCCTTGATCTGATTGAGAATGAATCATGTTTAATACTTTGTTGTTAACTGGGTAATGTTAATACTTGAATAATAATAACAAAACAAAATGTATTTTATAAGTTGAGTCAAGTAAGACATGTCTAATTGTACAAAGAAGGCGGTTTAATTTAATTGTGCGTGAAGTAGAAAACAACTGTGAAATAAAACATTATTCTTATAAAAACAATTATTCATGGTTTATCGACTTTTCGGTTTAGTACTCCAGTCCTTAATGCTTGGCATTAATATAATTTCAAGTAGTGCAACTCTGTACATAATTGTACTTATCACCATTTAGTACACAAATTTTACAATTAGACGCCAAGAACATACAAAAAGTACATATATGCAAAAACAGGTATCTTAATACTTATAAAATTTTGAAAAGTTTTGTCAGAAAGTTGACTTATTTTGTATCTATTCTACCTAGCAGGGAAGGGTAAAAAAGTAAAAGGGTTGTTGGTAATTGTTAAAAATCTTTACGAGATTATAGAAACCTTGATAACACCAACGTGTTGCTGCACATTTTAATCTATTGATGAACCGGGCTACGTGATGAATAATATTTAAAAAAAGATGCATTATTGTTTGCATTCCGTTCATAATTTTTGATAGAAATAGATCAGACGCATTTGTGATGCGCAATCATTAACCCTGTATCTTAGTCGATGAAGGATAAAAAAATGTTCTAATACAGTATCCTCTGCGTATATTCTGTATCCAGACTATAGTATCCTCTGCATGTATTCTGTATCCAGACTATAGTATCCTCTGCATGTATTCAGTATCCAGACTATAGTATCTTCTGCATGTGCTCTGTATCCAGGCCACTGTAGTTTCAGTAGAAGTAAATATTTCCATTAACTGTTTTAGCGCCGATATAAGGATTTATCTCTAATTGGATAATGAGCTAGATAGAAAGATAGATGTTACCGCCATGCAATTTCTATTGGTTCACCAAACACATGGCTGAACCCTGATTGGATCAGGCGCTAATGGACTCGGCATACTATGGTGAGGCTACAGTATACTCTGCATGTATTCTGTATCCAAGCTACAGTATCCTCTGCACGTATTCTGTATTCAGGCTACAGTATCCTCTGCATGTATTCTGTATCCAGGCTACAGTATCCCCTGTATGTATTCTGTATCCAGGCTACAGTATCCTCTGCACGTATTCTGTATCCAGGCTACAATGAGCTAAATAGAAAGATAGATGTTACCGCCATGCAATTTCTATTGGTTCACCAAACACATGGCTGAACCCTGATTGGATCAGGCGCTAATGGACTCGGCATACTATGGTGAGGCTACAGTATACTCTGCATGTATTCTGTATCCAAGCTACAGTATCCTCTGCACGTATTCTGTATTCAGGCTACAGTATCCTCTGCATGTATTCTGTATCCAGGCTACAGTATCCCCTGTATGTATTCTGTATCCAGGCTACAGTATCCTCTGCACCTATTCTCTATCCAGGCTACAGTATCCCCTGTATGTATTCTGTATCCAGGCTACAGTATCCTCTGCACGTATTCTGTATCCAGGCTACAATGAGCTAAATAGAAAGATAGATGTTACCGCCCTGCAATTTCTATTGGTTCACCAAACACGTGGCTGAACCCTGATTGGATCAGGCGCTAATGGACTCGGCATACTATGGTGAGGCTACAGTATACTCTGCATGTATTCTGTAACCAGGCTACAGTATCCTCTGCATGTATTCTGTATTCAGGCTACAGTATCCTCTGCATGTATTCTGTATCCAGGCTACAATATCCTCTGCATGCATTCTGTATCCAGGCTACATTATCCTCTGCATGTATTCTGTATCCAGGCTACAGTTTCCCCTGTAAGAGTTTTGTATCCAGGCTAGAGTATCCCCTGCATGTATTCCGTATCCAGACTACAGTATCCGCTGCATGTGTTCTGTATCCAGCCTACAGAATTCCTTGCATGGGTTCTGTATCCCCTAAATGTATTCTGTACCCATGTTACAGTATCTCCTGCACGTATTCTGTATCCAGGCTACAGTATCCCCTNCCCCCCCCCCCCTGAATATGACCATTGACCACCACAGGTATGCAATCCAGAGATTCAAAACACATAAGTTAGGATTTCTGGTAAAAATTAAAGCTGCGAAAAACCTTACAAAAAGAAAATTTTCAGAAAACAACCTAGTCCCAGAGGCTCATCATATCCCAAGGGATGACTGAAGAGTCGAGTAAATAAATATATAATGTAGATAAATAGATGACAAAATATATCTATATACCTGGTATAAGCGGTACATAAAGCTCTCTTAACCACAGTTTGAGTAGTGCTGCAGGTACATGAGCATCAGAACACGAGGATACCTCCCATTGATCATATCTTAACAAAAACTAAGATTAACCAGTAATCAAACTAAATAAGTGCTTATAATTACAAATAATTCCAAACACTTCAAATTTCTTTTCAGTATTTATTATTATCAAATTATGTCGCAAAGTTATACTTCTGCGAAGTGGACTTAAACTGTCGAAAGTTCTGCTTAGTTCCGTTTATTAGCTATTTTTTCAACCCTAGGATTATGTAAATGTATGAACAGCATAACATTTGGAGAGAAATTTTTTTATTTGGATTCATCGGGATGTCTGATGATCAAATAAACGTCAAAACGGGCAATTCACATGACCCCAGGGAAGGTTTATAGACGGTAAAAAAAAAATTGGCCTGGAAAAAAATGTCGACATCTATCTTACCGACATTTAGAGCTTGAAACCTCGTCAAAATCTGCGGGGATACGGAATATACCTTCAGTACTCAACCCATTCAATCCTGTAATAATAAATGGTATCAGACTACAAATAGAATATTTTTTTATTTCCCAAATATCGATGGTGAACAAAATATGTTTAAAAGAATAAAACCCGACTCTACCTAATATTTGTTCTGTGAGGGTTGTCAGTATCCATGGAAGACGACGTGTAGGAAATTTATCCTGAAAGAAAAATAAATTAAAAAAGCGAAAGTACGACAAAGAAAAAATTAAAAAATGAAACCGTGGACAAATTTAAGTTATTTTTAAAATGCCCTTCCTAATGCATAAACTATATATTGTATCTATCGTACACAGATTAATTGACTTCCATTTGTTGGATGAACATTATAGGTAAGGATAAAAAATTACATTCCTGCAATATATTGTCAATAATAATATTTACCTTCTGAATATCCAGCACTTCCTCCAATGTACCTCCAAACATGCTGGGTCGAAATATTTGAAGCCTAGTCAACGGATCCATTTTAGGTAATTTTCATTTATTGAAGGGAATGTTAGTCTTATTTCCATGCAAAGAAGGCAATGCCCAATTTACAACAGTACCCTTAAAAGCTTTGTCTGATAAGGTATGAATTAGATATCAATGTTTATAATTTGGAAAACAGATTATTTTCAATTGTGTTTTCTCTACAAAGGTGACTTGCATATTTTTAATGCAGGAAAACATATAAGAATTATTAGAATACTGAACACTTTTAAACCTAAATAAAAACGACAATATCTTCAACGTTATTGATTAGATAAACTGCCATCTTTGCAAATACTTATAAATTTGCTTGCGGTCCCTTTAAGCTGGTAATTAGTCATCATCGTAGTAGGAAAGGTGTTATTTATTTGTTGTGTGTATAATAATAAATTCTATCAATTTCAATGATTGACATTTTCATTACAACACTAATTATAGCTTATAAGTTTTCCGACATAAGAAGTTCCGATAAATAGACACGTGACCTAGATTGATCTATGTCTTCTTGAGATGGTTTCTTCGGCATAAGACGACCTCCAATCCCAATCCTCTCCAGTCTTTTGTGACAAATACCAGCGTAATGAGATATCTAAAATAAGGAACAATGAATAAACTTTCCTCTCTCACATCATGCTGTAAAGATGTCCGTAACTTAATTTTTCCTGAGGCCGAGCGGCGGCTTAAATTTAAGCAGTGGCTCAAATATGGTTGGTTTCACTTAAAATTGTATTCAATGTTTCAAGATTTAAGCCGGCGCTCAATTGAAACCGGTTTTTTGCGGATTTAAGACGCGGCTCAAATTCATTAAATCCGGACACTGTGTTCTTTTTATAAATATGTTTTGAGTATTATGCAACATGCAGTCCTAATTAAATCGTAACTACTAATTTTCATATTCTTAATTTGAACTCGGTCAGTAAAGTTTACGATATTTTAACGCAATTTTCTCTTGAATTTTTTTAAATGAAATGATAGTTAGATTATATCTCATATTTTCTGTATATGATAGATTCAACACAAATAATCTCTATTATGTAATAATGTAATCAGGAATTTTATAAAAAATTAGATAACATGTTAAAAGTTGCATTAGTTGTATCAGGTTGCAAAGAGGGGTTGGAAAAATAGAGTTGTGGCAAAGGCTCAATTCCTAAGTGTGTAACTTAACTTGAAATATTTATTTTTAATTGACTTCAAAACTTTATTAATATTTGTTTAATATTTTACATATTTATGAATATTTGTATAACATTTATATTGTATCTTCACTCATACCAGCTATTCATCCCATAAAATATCTGGGTTTTTTATTTTATCCCTGTAGTCATTGTTTAAGAAATAAAAGACAAAAAAAATATATAGAATTAAAATAATAATAATAATTTAAGTTCAAGTTCTTAAAACTCGTTGATTTGCTGCTTATTTGTATAAATGCTGCATAAATACTGCACTAACCTATACGTAATATATATTCATGTACTGTACATAAATAAGTTTACCTGTACATGAATAGGCCAACGACCTATCTCCGGGAAGTCTAGTGAAGGATCACGATGTTTTAAAATAAACCCGTGTAGATAGGGGTAGAAGGTCTCAGACGGAGGAAAGAACGCCAAACAAATTGCTAAAAAAAATTTTTGCAATGATGAAAAAAAAGATAACATAAGGCAGCAATAATTGGAATTAAGAATTTTTGAATGGATGGAAATTGAGTTAAATTTATTCTCTCCTGTCGGGAAGAAACTCTGATCTCTCATTGATCAAAATCTCTCCGAGAGGAGCAAATGGGTTTAACTCTTTCTATGCAGGGTGTCCTAATAACTCTAGACATAAGCTATAAATAATTCTGATATCACTTATGGGATTTTTTACAACCTGTCAAAAGATTTGAGAAACTCTAATATAAATGTTTTGTTATAGCAGGTATTTTACGAGGGCGATTGAAAACCTACAGGCCAATGATTCACTTATTGTAAGGAAGAAGAAGAAACGACCTTTGAAAACAATATTAAGATTTTAAAATAAGTAAGTTTCGTAAACAGAGAAAACTGAAAAAACGTTGAAATTTCAAACCATACAGAGCAACACAATTGCATTAGCTAAACAGCACCAGGAACGGAGGAAGGCTGCATTTGAAGGGTGAAAGAAGTGAATCTAATTATAAACAAAAGATTCATATGTATAAAATAAGAATGTTATAAAAATGTTTTAAAATCATCTTATTTAGAGTTTAAAAACACTATAACCTAGAAATTATCCGAATAAATGGGACACCCCGTAATATAAGTTCCCAAATATCCTTCATTTAGTGACAAGGTTGAACTTTTAAAGTTAAAGATTAGAAATGAAGTTATAATTACCAATGAGTTCCCAGCCCCGTCTTAAACTTTCACGTCGGGGATTCTCACAAGTTTGCTTACATAGTTGGATATATATCTCATCCCTGAATATATATAGTTTACATAGTTGGATATATATCTCATCCCTGAATATATATAGTTTACATAGTTTACATGCAAGGTTCAATTAAGTCTTCTCTTTTGAATCTAGTATTTAATAGGCTTATCTAATGATTTGCCAAATAAAAAATCAAGTTTACAATCATGAATATAAGAAGACAGACACCATAAATTTCGTACAGCCGTCTCTGAAGTCTCATCCTTTGTTGATAACCCTGTACAGTGTACAATGTACATATATGTGTATAGCTAGCTAGTAGCAATGTAAACTTTTTACCGTAGATTACTACTCGTATACCCGGCTTCAGCAATATCCATCGCAACCGAGTTTATTGTCATTCCTATCTTTGCTTTCCTAAATTAAAAAAATCATCAGTAAAATCAGTTTGAAACTATAACAGAAACCTGGATGAAATTACTTTTCAAAATAAGTTAAACAGATTTAGAGGAAAAGTAATATATATTCCTAACACTGGGCCCGGCCCCCCTATATCTTCTTATTTTTTTCCCTCTCGATATGTTTTAGGACATGACCCTCAACATGTGAGTAATATATTAGGTGAATTACCTGTCTGACATATATATTTGAACAAGTTTGAACACGTTCACCGCTTCCTTCTTCAGTAGTTTATCCGTAACAAACGTCAATGGTTTACTAAAACAAACAGTTTGTAAATAAGATTTGGGAATCATTTGCAAGGCGTTAAAAACTTACAATACTATCTTTACAAACAATAATAGTTTTTGTGACTTTTCTTTGCTTAACGTGGTTTTTTTATGATATTGTAAATATTGCGCCTCCCCACTGACAGTCCTATTCTAGGTCTGTGATGTGTTGCAGTATATCAGGCAGCCTTCACATAATTCTGTCCGAGTTACAACGGTACCCTTATAGACTTTGTCTGGTCGAGAATACATGAATAATGAACTATCTTCTTCCTCTAAAAAGTGACTTGCACATTTCTACGTCAGACACAAATAGAGGTAATTGTTGAATTTAACACTTTTCAACATAGAAATGCGATGAAATCTTCCACATTATTGATCAGATACAGGTATGCCCATTTTTTTAACTTTAAATAAATCCCATAAATTTTTACCTTATAGCCTCTGACTGCCAGGAGAGAACATCCTTTAACGACATCTTCTTCCTGAAGATCCCCTTCTTCTGTATGTTAAGGTTGCTGGCGGCGAAGTTCTCGAAGTCCGCCAGGGTTCCCGCAGACAAGGTTGAATGTATGCTCGCGGATACAGATAACGTCGACCCTAGAACAAATATTATATTAATTACTCGCAACAAAATCTATTTTTTAATATCTTTGCAACCAAATATCTTTGATAAACAATAAATTTAGCTAGCACAAAAAGTCAAAGTTTCAATATCAAAGGTAAATTAGGTTTTCTACGGTCTAGTGGTCAGTTAAAATCTAGTTTTGGAATGAAAATAGATCCGTTTCCCAAGCAGAAAATAACAGTTTTTATACTAAATTTGACATAAATGCTATGACAATCAGACAAATTTTGATTGACTTAAATTTTTTATATAACTTCTTACAGAAAACCCTTTCACATTAAAAAAATTGTGCTGAACTGTTAACATATCAAAATCAAACATTTATTTCTGAAAAATATTAACCTGATGTATTTTCTGAAAGATGAGAACTTGACATTAGATCCCCCCGCCCATCCACTAGATCCCTCGGAGGGGGCATAGCACTCCCTGGTCTTAGGGGTAGGGAGTGGGGCAGGGAGGAGGGTATACTTCCCCCTAGAGAATGTGTGGGGCGTATTATGGTTGAAGAGGCTGGGGTACGCCCATATTTCATCCTCAGATCAAACTCTTCAGAGAAGGTATCGATGTCCAGAGCATTTTCTAAACAAGAAAAAATTATTTTAAATTCTTAGTACACCCCTTAGTTCTCTATGTTACCAAATTGTTCCCAAATGGCGATTAAACAATTATTTAAACTTAAAAAATCTTTCTAATTTACTTTTACATATGTATTTTGAAATTTTAGGATTTCAGATACGTTGTCTAAATTCAAAGTTTATAGAATCAATGAATTTTACATACTGACATAAACTGGCATGTTGATAAAAATAGAAACCCATTGTGAGCTTTTGTAAAAATCTATTAAAAATGACTTATTTACAAGTCCTTTTTCAATAAAGTCAGTTAGTTCTAATACACAAAAGTCTGGTTATGTCTATCCTAATAAAACAGGTTAGTTTTCATCATGATCAATTATATTGAAACAGTAAAATAAACACAATATTAAAAAATATCCCCCCCCCCCAACACGTTAAAATAAAAAATAAAATAAAGGGAGAAGTCCCCATATTCACGAGAAGGGTCAGGAACACTTTCAAAATGAGTCTTTGTCACAAACTCTTATTTTCTAATCCCTACAACCCAATGTCGTTGACATTAGATATTTCAAATTATGAATTCTGTTAGAATGATGTTTACACTTTCATGTTGCAAAGATATAGGGATAAAAAAGATTGAGTTTTTGCAAAGATTCAATTTCTTTGAATACATTTGACAGTTAAAATTACAAAGATTAAAGTTTAACTTTTAAATTTTACAGTTGTCCTGAAACCTCTCTTTTAAAATGCATGCTGACTTTTCCCTTCACAAAAAAGAAGAAGATTGTTTAAATCTCTCTTCAACGATTATAAACCTGGTCTTGTGTAAATATGTTGAATAGATCCGTATTCACGATACTTTCCTAGATTTAACCAGTTTTTAACTTAACTTTAAATCATAAAATAAATCAGTCGTCTTTCATGCATACCCCCCCTCCCCCACCCCCAATTATTACACCCGGTAACGGTGTAACCCAATCGTATATTCATTATTAGTAAATAGTTTGAATTAGCATATTAAGAAACATTTTTAATTTATTAATTAAAAGGAAAATTTTAAGAATGAAGGACAACATCGTTATAAAATACAATGAATGAATAAATTGAAGAATAGCTAAAGTAAAGAAGTAAAGAAGTAAATAAGTAAATAAGTAAATAAGTAAATAAGTAAATAAGTAAAGAAGTAAAGAAGTAAAGAAGTAAAGAAGTAAAGGAGTAAAGAAGTAAAGAAGTAAAGAAGTAAAGAAGTAAAGAATAAAAAATGCTATGGAAGTCTGAACGAAAATGAATAGAATATCTTCAGAAAAATTCTGCATTAGAGATAATTGTTTCAATGTTCAACTGTATTCTAAATTACAAAATAAAAAAATCGCTTATTTGGCAAAAAAAAGTTGGATAGCTTCCTCATAAGCGACAAACAATTGCTTATATTCAACAAAAATCAATTATTTGGCAATCATTCAACTTTTGCTGACAAACAAGGGTTTTTTTTTTAATATAAGCGAGTTTTGCCTATTTGGCAGCTAAACAACGTTTGATAAAAATGAGCCATTGTATTTAATTTTGTAAGATCGATGCAATATATAACTTTATAATAAAAGTTATCAGCATTGTTGAAGTTACCTAATGGGAATCCATGTCTCTGAGCCCAGACCGGATCGAGGTTGTTGTATGTCGGCTCTGTCAAGTAATTGTCGTCTTCTCCGACAGAGGAAACTGTCGATACAAGAGATATGTCGTCTCTCTCCTATTCCGGACATATTGACAATTATTACTCATGAACATCATTTACGCAAGTCTCCTAATAGCTGGAAATCATAACGCTAACAGCGACTGTTGTTTTAAAAAATAGAATATCTAACATACTGGGCAAATAAAAGAACTGATATCATCCAACAAACTCTTGAACTTTTATCAATCAAAGATCAATATTCGAAGTTTGAATTATTTAAAGCTTCAAAATCAGGTTACAAATATGTTAATAAAATAAAAATAGCGCCAGTTGCTTTGATCATGGTCTTGGAACTATCGAAATTTTAACTTTTTGGCAACACATTTGATAAGATGTTCTTCATGCGAAGACTTGGAAGTTATTGCATCGAGAAGGGTTAAGCAGTTCTTGAAACCTGTCAGGACAAATTCTCTATACAAAGTATCGGCTGAATTCTGTTAAATATAGCTTTTCCCTCATATATATATATATACACAATACACACATATATATATTTTATGTTAGCTTTTGCTGGCCAAACAGCTGGATCAAATGGGCTGAAATTTTTAGAAGAAACCTATTAGTTCAGTTATTTTTTATAATTCCACGAGCAACACCAGGCACTTCAGCTGGATATTTGTTTTGTCCTCTTGAGTGAAAGAAAGGTTGGAAAGAAGATGCACGCTTAGAAACAAGAGACTAATTAACAAACAACGCATTTTAAATTCACTTTTTGAACAGAAGTGAAAAATTAAAAGATTCTAAAGCTTGAAGCTAGCTTCATATGAACTTGCTTACACACTTTACATACATATTATAATCATATATGTATTCTAAGTAACCATATTCTAAATATTAGAAATGATTTTTTGTTATCTGATTAAAACCGGAGAAGGGAGAAGTTTTTTTTTCAGAATTAAACTAAAAATAAAAATATAAAATAATGGTACAAAAAGATCTTTTTTGAAAAGTACCATTCGCTAGAATTTTCAACGCAATTTTTTATTTTTTAGATGTTTCAAGAAAATTGTCTTCAACCTAATTTTATGAATTTTTTCAACTAATATCAGATCAATATGTAAATCTGGAATTATAAGATGTGAATATGTTCCTCATATCCATCACTAGATGGGGCTTCATCGTCCGCAAACGCATCACTATCATCACCTAACAAGACAAATAGATTTAAAACTATTCTGTTTCCGCAAATGTTAAAAATAATGTTACTAGAAAATTAAAATAGAAATGTACAAAGAGTTAAGGGATACAACTCTGAACTTTGAGGAATCAATCAACCATTGAGAATCGAATCCAGTAAATTAAAAAATTATCACATACATTTTTTCTTCATTAAAATGCGTACAAAAAGATTTTCCAAAATCACCATCCCGGTTAAAAATTTAAATCTAAAATATCCCGAATAGAAAAGAATAATAATAATGTAATGTAATATTTTCTATGATTCTATGATTTTAAACAGTGCTTAGGATCCATTTGAATTTGACGCGGATCCGGATCCTGGATCCGCACTGGAAAAAATGGATCCGTATCCGGATCCAGGTCATTTCTTTAAGGTTTACTGAATTTTTTGAACAAAAAATAATTTAAAAATTTTTGTTTTATTTTTTTTCGCTTATTATTATCCTAACACTTGATGAACCACTCAGAAATGAGGAAATTTTTATAATCTCTCTTTTTTCAAAAGTTCACATTTGAGTTTTGGATTTAAAAAGTTTTTTTTTGCCGTTTTGGTTGATATTTTACCCTTTGGATCCGGATCCGTGAATCCGCATATTTTTGCAAATCCGGATCCGGATCAAGGAAGCCAAAATCTTGCGGATCCAACGGATCCGATCCTAAGCACTGAATTTTAAAATATTATGATGAGTTTACCAGTTTTATGCGACTCTGACTCTGAGTCTATGAATGAATCTCGTTTTACCACACCCAGCTTGTCACCAAACCTAGACAATAAAGTGATAAAATAAATGAAAAATAATTTACAATCCAATCAGAACAAACGGAGAAGGTCGTTTTTATGCTTATGCGAAATTTCTTTCAGCACTTTCAAAGAGGATTTATGATCGAAAACCTAATAAGAGTTTTATCTAACGAAAAATTTACTTCAATTTGACGTGTATTTATCAGATAAATATTTTATTTTTTCGATAAATATTTTATTTATCAGATAAATATTTTATTTATCAGTATTTATCAGATAAAACACATGTCTCAATAACATTTTAAAAAAAGATAGATTTTCTGGGTAAAAATTACATTAGAAATTTGGCTTGCGCACGCACCTAAAACCCTTATTTCTATTCATTTTTTATTTCAATATTTTTTATTTGTTATTTTTACCTGTATCCTGAGAGCTTTGCCTGTTCCAGGATATATTGTTGTAACGGAGAAATCTAATTAATGATGAACTTATTAAAATATTAATTTTTGGTCTTCAGTGATTTACAAACAAAGGGGATTTTTTTCCAGCTAAAATATTAATTATTATTAATTAATTAATATCCCCAGAGGCCAGAAAGGTTCTAATTAATAATTAAACAAAATACAATAATATTTAAGAAAAGTGTGAGAAACATTTCTGCACATCGAATCCAACATTGCTTATTCTTTCTTCCAATTTTCTTTTATATTGTAGATAAATACTTCAACACTTTCTCCTTAGAATGGCAAGTTTACTGTTCTTAATTTCGAAAATTCAGAAATTACTTTTTTACCGTTCTCAAAATAATGCCAAAGAATTAATAATTATTCTCTTCTCGGGTTTCACTTTTTCAAATTACTGCGAAAAAAAAAATTTTTTTGAATTTTTGTTCTGCAAAGTTTTGCTGACCAAATTGAAGAAAACTAAGATGCTGTCAGTGTGTATATTTTCAAAAAAGTTTCCCCCTTTTGGAAAATATATCTTTCACTCAGAAGTTAGGTATGTTTGCACGGAGCAACATTATTTTTGATGCCCCCTCTCCCCTCCCCTAGATCTTCAAAAATCAATTCTTAAAAATAAACATCTCTGGACGCCTTTTAACTGTTAATAATCTAAACTCTACCTTAGGTTGTGGAACCTCCTTGCCACCATGTTGCTTTCCTTTAGACACCGGATTGGATTTACTATGGTTCAAGGATTGGTTGGGTTTGGATTGGATGACAGGTGGGATTGGTTTAGTGTGGTTGCTTGTCCCTAGAGTTGGTTTAGTATGGATGGGAGGAGGAGCTGGTTTCTGATGAGGGGAGGAGAAGGAGTTTGCTGCTGGAATATCGTCTTCCTTGGATTTGCTTTTCCCAGCTTTATTCTTCCATTTTTTAACCTAATAATATAAGAACACTTAAACAAGATCATTAATAACCTTACAATATTCCATACCAGAAGGTTTACCAACGAGAACTTCAAAATGCAAATTGTTATTCAAGAAATTCAATAATAATATTTGTAATATATCGTTTGAAAACCTAAACTTAAAATGTTGATAAAATAGAATTACGGACTAGCTACGGAAAAACCAATAAAAAAGATTTAAATTATTTTTTATATCTGAATGTATATGTTTGTCTTTTAAAACTTGTGTGTGTTCATACGTCAATCTTTCATACCGGGATGCAACTGCAGTGAAATATATTGATAGTTTTGATGGCCATTAATCTAATTTATCTGTTGTGATCTAACAATTTCAAGATTCAAGTATACCTGAAGGGATAAAGATGTAAGGGAGCGTTCAGGTCTCCGGTATGAGGGTTGGTTTATATCCTGACTAAGACTCTTGTTAGATCTAGAAAAAATAAAAATATGAATTAAAGAAACTATTCTAATCCTTTAAATCTTTGCAACATGATGGTGCCAACTTTGAAATCTTAAATTTACACTATTTAATCACACCGAATTCAAGTTTGAAATATTTAAGGTCTACGACAAAGGGTTCCAAAGTTATAAGGACTAGCAATTTTAATTTGTGGCAAAAACGTAGTTCCTTATAAATTGACGGAACAGTCTAAAATCTCAGGAACATACTTGAATTTTATTAACGTTAGGAATGTTACTTCGGCTTGCAATTTGAGCTTTTAAACTTAAATCATTATAAATAGAAAGTATATATCAATCTACTTACGTGCAAATTTACGTGTTAACAAATTTAAATTCAAGGATTTCTGTTTTCTTAAATCATGCATTGATTGAGAATTAAAAATTGTTGGTGCCGAGCTTTTTGTAACTTCTGATTTGAAAATTTCTCAACGAAATTTTAATTTTCAAATCTCTATATCTTTGCAACTTGATTGTGTAAACTTTTGGTATTTCAAACTGTGACATTGATATAGCAGAATTAATTTCATAGCAAGAATTATCAAAGGTCATGGAACATTAAGTAGAAAGATAGATAAATAGGTCTACACAAGTTTGTAAACATATTAAAACTAGAAAATTTTAGCTGAGCTCAATTTTTTTGTGAAATTAAAGGATGAAGGAAAATTACTTTTTATTATCAGCATCTAGAGTTGATCCCGAATCCAGAAATGAGTCTCCTTTTTTCTTTCTTTCCTACAATATACAATATATTGTACATATTACAGTAAAGATAAAAGGTATGAAAAGATTTACGTACAGGCGCCGTCATAACATAACAGTTGAAAATAATTAACTTCCTTATCATATGTAAACACTGCAGCACGTATGTGTTTCTAAACCCCGGAACTCATCTTTGTGATAATTGGTCTGAACACATTACAAGTAGCACTTTCCAACCAAACATTTTGATTTTCTTTCAATCATGATTCTACTTAGAATATATTTCTTAAAAAATTTCATAAAAATAGTATAGATTTAATGATAAAAGCTTTCTCGAGCTACCGGCTATTTCTGTGGTGTATTTCCTTATAAAAACTTTTATGGACTCCTCTGATTTATTACCTTATGTGGACTATGAGTGGACTACTCTGATATATTACCTCATGTGGACTATGAGTGGACTACTCTGATATATTACCTTATGTGGACTCTGAATGGACTTCTCTGATATATTACCTAATGTGGACTATGACTTATGGGTAGACTTCTCTTATATATTACCTTATGTGGACTATGAGTGGACTCCTCAAATACATTACCTTATGTGGACTATGAGTGGACTCCTCTGATTCACTGGTATGAGTGGGAAGAACACGACGTGGATCGTGAGCACTGCTGCCCGGCACTTAACAGAATAAGATTGTTATACCTTACATGCATTTTATACTTCATTCCGTTAATACAATAAGCAAGCATTTGATAACTTTGTGTGAAAACCGCCACTTAGTTAAATGAATTACTTTAAAAAATCTTACTTAAAATTTTTTTTTTTTAACGAACCATTACCTGTTCGTCTATTTATCATAGGAGTAGGAAATCCATCGACATTCGAGTGTCCGGCAAACCCGAGACTGTTGCTGAAGCTTGACATCGAGCTCGCAATCCCAGACATCGCGTTGGTAATTGGGTTTCCAGTGCTTGAGATCGAACTATTGCGTGAATGTCGGCGTCTATCCGAACCATCTGGACTAGGTAGTGGATATCTAAACAATAGAAAGCTTTTATATAAATTTTAATAAAAATATCTGGTTCCACTAAAGAATATATGCCAGGTTCCGCAGTAGAATATGTTTGGTTCTACTGTAGAATATATATTAGGTTCCACTATAGGATATTTGTTAGGTTCCAATGTAGAATATATTTTTGGTTCCACTGTAGAATATATATTAGGTTCCACTGAAGATTATATATTTGGTTCCACTGTAAAAAAATATATTTGGTTCAACTGTAGAATATATATTAAGTTTCTCTGTAGAATATATATTTGGTTCCAATGTAGAATATACATTTGGTTCCACTGAAGAATATGTATTTGGTTCCACTGAAGAATATATATTTGGTTCCACTGAAGAATATATATTTGGTTCCAAAGTAGAATATATGTTAGGTTCCACTGTACAAAATTATATTAAGTTCCACTGTAGAAAATATATTAGGTTTCACTGTAGAATATATATTTGGTTCCACTATAAAAAACATATTAGGTTCCACTGTAGAATATATATTTGGTTCCATTGTAGAATATACATTTGGTTCCAAGGAAAATAAAAATATATGTGGTTCCACTAAAGAATATATATATTAGGTTCCACTGAAGAATATATATTTTGTTCCAAAGTAAAATATATATTAGGTTCTACTGTAAAAAAATATATTAGGTTCCACTGTAGAAAATAAATTAGGTTCCACTGTAGAATATATATTTGGTTCCAAGATAAAAAAATAAACTTGGTTCCACAGTGTTTGGTTGCATGCACATGAAGTATTATTTTATTACACAATATAAGAATCTGCATATGAAGTCATTTTCTTGATTAAATGTTAATCCCAGAGATCAAATAGTTTTTTTAAAATCAATTACTTTCAATTTTTCAAGAATTCATTAAGGAACTAAGCATGTGCCTCATACTCCTATTTTCTAACGTGATGACGTAAACCTGATGTTTAAAAGTTTCAGTGTAGTAGAATTTACAGTTTGAAATATCAATTGTGTAAGAACGACATCAGGTCGCAAAAATTTGAGGAAATTAAGAGTTTGTTTGAGGGAAATAGAACATACTCTAACCACGCTTCCCTTTCACTTCATCCATTAAAAAGTCTAAAATTATGTGAAGAAAATATTAACAATCTAATTTTGATAAATTTATCCACTCATCAATCAATCAATCAATCAAAATTGATGAGTAACGGTGTACCTTCGTGCTGACTGAGGAGTAGATTCTACAGATCTTCTACCATTCTCTTGAATTTAATAATAATAATAATAATAATAATAATAATAATAATAATAATAATAATAATAATAATAATAATAATAATAATACCTGATAGACCTGGAAAGGGAACCCTCCTGGCCCGGGGGGGATTGTAGAATCCTAAAATGGTCTCCCTCTAAACTTCTTTGTTTAGAGAGCGGTACTTGATAAACATAACCTAAACAGAATTTTAAAGTCTCATTTTTATTTATTTTTATCAATTTTAACAAAAAATAAAAAATTTTCTTCACAATTGAAATTTGTTGATACCTGAAGAAGATGGATAACGGACTGAGGCGTACTGCGTCCCGAATCCTTTGCCGTACTGTCCGACAGGGTCCCGCCCTGGCACGCCGTACTGACCACCTGTGCTGCCGTAATACTTCACTCCGCCGTTGTTAAAACTGTGTTTAGCACCGTCCAGGGATAATCGGTCACTTAGCCGATCAGCAGCGGCGGCCGGCGCACTATGCAGGCTTGTCTGTCCAACACTGTTCCGTTTTATCGATGTTGATGGCATCGAAACAATTGATTTGTCGCTAGCACTGCCGACACTTATTCGGTCACTATTGTCGGGGTTTGATTGCCTATGTTTCCGACTACTATATCGACTCGAGGTTTCTGGTTTTGACTGAAATAGAAAAAATGTACACTAAATGCATAAATTTTATTTCTTCACTGGCTGGAGTGCCCGGCATAGCCCAGGTTTATTATATTTTTCATATTCATAGTTACTCCCGTCGTTTACCCACGCTTGGTGTTTGATTTAGCTAAGCCAAACAGCCAGCTATAGCGAAAATGTTATACGAGCGAAAATGTATATTATATAGATTTTATTTACCCTCAGGCCTCAATAACAAATGCAAGCATTAAGTTGTTCACGAAAATTGAAAAATATGGCAACAATAGTATGTAAACTATTGGATCATTTAGTTTTTTTAAAAAGCACAATTATAAAGTTAATAAAATATATTGCGGAATTAGAAATAGGCTTGATAAAAAAACAAATTTAATCCGTCCTCATGGAGATGGGGAAATATATTTAACTTGATGTTTCCCCTCCAACACTTATATTCCCCTATAAGTTTCATGATAACAGGGTACAACGATGTCAGGTATATATGAGAGGAAATATTTTAAAGGGACTGTTCAATTTTTAATCGAAAGTTATTGATCAGAGGGGTCATATTGATTTTTGTTTAATCTAGTAATTAGAGAATGTTTAAAAATCTGCAAATATTGTATCTTTCTTTAGCTTGAGAGAACAATTGTGACGTTAAGTATGCTACTTTATCTGCCACAGTTTATTTATTTTCCACAGTTCATAATACGTAATAACCATATTACATGACGGGCCCCCTCTTACTCCGACAGGGGAGACATGGAAATAGTAAATGTAGACAAACCTTAGATTTCTGTTGACTGGGTAGAGAAGAGGATGAAAGAGAACATGTTGTTGAGTGTGCACGACAGCGTGGTGTCCGATATCGTTTAGATCTAAATCAAGAAGTTGATAAGCTGGATAAATTATTTTCAGCCAAGAATGTAGTTCTGACATAACAAGTAAGAGAGATGTAAAAATACTTCATTTAGAATGAAAATCATGATTTTAGTTGCTGCTGCTGCATTAATACTTGGACAATAGAATTTTTAAAAGTTCAAATTACAATGAAGAAATGTAAAAAATAATGAAAGTTCCAAATTCCGTGGTGATTGCTAAACAATGATTTAACTCGAGATTGTTAATGGAAATTATTTTCTAATTACACGTTAATTAAGTGGTAAGCCCATTCTTCCAAAGAATAATTGAAGACTGAACAATGTGTCTTAGTTAGTAACCCCAGAGTTTTGATAAGATAACATATTTTCTGAAAAATGCACCCAAGATATGATAACGAGTATTTCAATTAAAAAAATGATCGTGACAGATCCCAAACGCCATTGAACGTTATGGGACTTTTAGACCAAAACCAGGTTAATCAATAATTGTCTTACTGTTTCAATACAAAGATAGTGAACTTTTATAATACAAGGTCGAGTGGGTCAACCATGCATTGGAAAATGTAAAAAGCAACATTAACAATCAGCAATTTCCTTCTTTTCAATATCAGTATATGGTTTGCAACATTAAAAACTAATTAGGGCTTTCAAGAAAATACCGCGCATAATTCTCCTTTATGTTGATGCCTTTTTTCATCCTTAAAATGATTGCAATGTTTATTTCTTACTTTGTGTTTTCCGGAGAGGTTTGAGCATCTGTTGAAGTCGTAATTTTTGTACTCCCTGGGCTGACCCCTTTCTGAGCTTTTAACCCTGATGGTTGTGTGCTTGGCGGGCTTAGTGTAGTGCCAGGGAAGGTTTCAGAACTGACAGTAGACCTATGAATATTTCATTCAAGTTTAGTCCCTACAACAAGAAGTGCTTTGGATTTATCCCAGTTTGCTAAGGATCCGGCATGTAAAATATAAGACAATACTTCATAAGTTCAAGGTTTATCATATTTTACTAAAATATATTTCAAAATATTTTCCTTTCTTTTTCCCTTTTTTCCCCTTGAAATTGATTTTTAGATAGCAACCGTGTTTTTAAATTTTTATTCCAAAAAGGGAAATGAGTCTTGGTCACAAACTTTAAATTTCTGATCACTATATCTTTACAACCTGATGATGTAAACCTTTGATATTTCAAACTTAAGATTATTTGATCTAACAGATTTCATAGTTTAAAATATCTAAGGTCTACGGCATTAGGTAACATACTTTCGCGGATCCAAATTAAGGGGGCTAAAAGAAATTGGTTTCTGAACGTTAGCTATTAATCAATCAATTAATCAATCCAAGAGTCATACCTGAGTTTATTACTAGAATCTTTAGGTTCAGTATTCTGCTTGAGTGTTTGTAGTTTAGCTAGAGGGATAATATCACACCCAGTAGGTTTATGCCAGACAGTTTTCTGGCTGGCAGCGTTGTAATAGTAGAACCTATAAATAAATATCACTTTCTTTCTTTCTTTCTTTCTTTCTTTCTTTCTTTCTTTCTTTCTTTCTTTCTTTCTTTCTTTCTTTCTTTCTTTCTTTCTTTCTTTCTTTCTTTAATGCTTATTTTATTAAATAAATTTAGCTTAATTGAGAAAAAATATTTACTTTATTTGTAAAATGTGTGCATAAACTTGGAAACTATTAAAAGCTTGTTGACATTAACTTCTTTATATGTATTATTAGTTTTTAACACATGTGATTTTCTTTAATATTAGCAAAACATTAAGGTTTAAAAAGTCTAATAAAGTTTTTTTTTTAAATGAATAATCTTTATATTCGAAGAAAAAAATTAGAAATGATTATTAATTGAAATTATTCTTCTGTCATGTTTTAAGGTTTTATTTTTGTACAGAAGCTGCAGCTTATTTAATTAATCATTTTTTCTCTTTTATTTCTTTCAGCTCTCTTCCTCTCATAAATTAGGTTACATTTTCTTCCACTTTCATGCTTAATGTTATAAGTCAAAGTAAAATAGTCTCTATTTTAATTTATATATATATATATATAGATAGTAGAAAAAAAGAATATGTTTAGTATTTATTTAAAAAGAAAAAGCATGACTGGTGTATTAAAAAGATTTTACACTGTTTTCTTTAAAAACAATTAGGGACAGGAGTAGAAACTAAGAATACTTATTTGTCGTTAAAAACCATATTTGTTCAACTCGTCTCTTTCTGGTTAAGTTTCTCTCTCAAACACTCAAAAGTATAATCTGGGATGTTACCTCGAGGTATTCTGATCGAACAGTTCCCACCATTGATTATCATCTGTTTTCTTGACAGGAACACCTACTGGTGGATCCCAGACACATTCACCAGTAGTCAGGTTCGCAAACATATGCTCCTGAACACGATAATTTATTTATTATCGAATATTTAAAGGAATCTGGAAAATGATTTAAAACTTCACAGTTCTGTGATAAAATTGTGATCCTCCGTTAATATCTTTTTTTCTGCCCGCACTTAAATTTTTAGGTTATAAATATCAAAAGGAGGAACTTTTTCTTTTTTACATCCAAACTCTTGAATTATATACCCCAGGGACAGAAAAATTTACACGTATATTTTTCAAAGAACTTATTGAACCTCTATAAAAAATAAATTCAGTTATTTTAAAACTAGAATGTGGTCGTCAAGGAAGAGAAAATATTTAACGTCATTAAATCAAAATTTATTTATAATTACCAAATGTCGAAAGTGATAGTTATCCTATAATTTAAGTCAATTCTACCTTTGTTCTCGGCTCTATGATTTCCACCCATTCTGTGGCAGCCATATTCCTGGCTCTTCCAGGAATCACTGAGTTTAGAACAGTTCAAGGGCGTGGCAGTTGATTATTGAAATAGGCGTGGAAGATATTAATCGCCGCCACCGCAAGGATGGCTCTGGATGCCTGAAACAACATAGTATTTATCTTTATGTAAAACAAAAACCAATAATTGTAAACTTTGTGATATATTTCAGGGCTGTTTACAAAAGGAGGTGGGAAAATTTCAGCTCTAATTAATATTTTGTAAGTTCAGGGACCGAATTTAATGAATTTAAGCTACGTCGCTAAACTATCTACTGCCACATTGTTCAAATTTGACCCACCGATAGAGTTAAAGATTTAAGAAGGATTAGAATCAGTGATTCAAATTTGAACCGGCGCGCGGTGGTCAGTTCGAATAAATTAAATTCGGTCCCGGGATTTACAACGGTAGGTAGGAACTTGATAAATTTATTCATGCATTTGTAAACTTCTTCCTATTCTGTCAAAATATTTAGTTTACCATAACAAAATATTTTAGGGGTGTACAAATTTTCTTGAACCACCCCCTCTCCCGGGAAAATAATTTCCCCCATAATTCAATTCCTATCCCACCCCTTTGCATTTAAGGGGGGGAATATAGTTGTAATGTATTATGTATACCCTTGTAATAATTATAACAAAATAGGATCAAGTTCAAATTGTACGTTATTCAATATAATATATGCAAGAGAATTGCTTAAAAACAATTAAATCAATTACACCGGAGCCAATTGAATACTTAGGTATGTCCTAGAGAACGATTTTTGGACCCCCCCCCCCCCATCAATTTTGTACATAACAACTTAATTTTCAGAAAATGTTAGGTTGAGACAATTTCTTGGCCCAGCGCCGCGGCTAGGACAGACTAGGGGGCCGAGCGCCGCGGCTAGGACAGGCTGGGGTGCCGAGGCCACACGACCAATTATACCCATGTGTTACATATGAGATCCATGTATAAAATTGATAGAAAAGGGGGGGTCTATAAATCGTTCTCTAGGTATACGAATACTTCTTAGTTAAATTTAAAAAATATGATGGGACTAAAGCAACACTTTATAGACATTGGCTAACAAATCTGGGGGGGGGGGGTTATATCGTTGTTTATCTCACCTACATTATAGCTTAATCTAGGTCATCGTTAATGCACCTTACTGTTTATGCCATTTTCACGTTTCTGAAATTTGTCATAAATTCTTGTTACCATCATTTAAAAATATACTATATGATATTTTACGTGATAAATTGTAGCCATAATTCGATTCAATTTAATATTTTTTAACAGGCCTGTTACATATGAGTTATATCTAACTCTTAAAGTTCAGAAGCATTCACTATTAGAAATTTCCTTAAAAACAACATTTACCCAAATCATTAACAAACCGGTTTACAAAATATCTTGATGACTAGGTTCGTCTTTTAATAAAGCCGACATATTGAAAAAAAAGTTTTTAAAAAATTAACTAAATTGTACATTTTCTATTTTTGGAACGTTAATAAAATTTAGTTGTCGAATTAGCACCCTGTGTATACACGACTGGTTTAACTGATTAAACTTCCCATGAGTGCAAAGCGTACAAAGGAGTGCGTTATTTCCATTTCTAATCCTAACTACGCATTTGATTTTAAAACTGCATTTGCATTAGTTGGCAGGGAACCCAAATTTTTGACATTTTTTAGTTTAGGGAGGTTCACGGCTTTCTTGCACTGGGCGGTGCGCATGGGCAGTTTTGAGTTTAGTTGGCGCATGCGCATAATTTGTGCAAAAATTAAATTCGGAACCGCCCAAACCAAATAGAAGAGCCTTAAGTTTAAAAAAATCCATTACAAGACCGTTAATATAAAAAAAATAATTAAAATTTTTATTTTCTTAAGAAAAAATGTTCCGAAACAATCTATAAAAATGGGAATAATGTTTTAATATTACAGTGCAATCAATAAATCAATCTTGTTTTAGGAGATTTCAGCGCGGCATAATTTGACATTTTGCGCAATCTTCATTATTGGGTGTTTTCTTCAACGACAACGTATCAATGAAACTAATCCGAAACCAGTTTATTTTTCCCTGACAATTTTTAATTTCATATTTGTTTTTTTCATTAGAAAAATGGCGTCAAAATCCGAGGAAGTTTTGTGCAACAAGTTTGACTCTTGTCTCGCTGATGCCACTGTCAAAGTTGGTGCAGGTCTGTTTCTTATATCCCAAATTGTATTTTTGTCCTTGAATGACTGGTAATTTCCTATAGAACGTCTATTTGGGATGTTAGGCCATTTCATAGAAAAAATTTCGTAGATAGAACATTTCATAGAGAGGACATTTCATGTAAGACATTTCAAAGATAGGAAATTTCTTAGACAGAGAATATTTTCTTAGTTTTTTATTATCCAAGTATTTCTTTTCTAACAAGTTATACCCTCTGAATTTTACTTAACATATCATTCATATTTTTGCTTTAAACTGATACTGATAACGTATAACAATGTTAATTTCTTGTTAGTCAAACTGTTTCACATTTTTTACTAACCCAAAACCTTAAATTGTCTCGGAAAAATGCCTGTTCAGTCTTTGAAATGTCCTGTCTATGAAATGTCCTATCTATGAAGTGTCCATTTTTGAAATGTCCATCTATGAATTGGTTTTCTTCGAGATGTCCCAACCCCCTTCTTGGACCTCGGGCACTCCCCCTTCTTCTAATTCTGTTCACATTGCATAACAAATGTAACCCACGGGCAATAGTTGGACATATGGCCTTAGCTTTCGGCCTCTTAGCTGCTGCGTTTGGCCCCTTAGCTAAACCTAGCCGGCTAAAGCCGCAGCACTTGGACCCCTTATCTGGTAAAATCACAGTTATCAGTCCATAAAATTTCTTAACCTAACCTAACTTAACCTTGGGTTAAACACATCAAATGTAGTGTCATTAGAAAATTGATGGTGGGGGGGGGGGTTTCGTTT